TATATATATATATATATATATATATATATATATATATATTACATATATATTAATTGACACCTTATACTCAAGAGTAAGCTCCCTTTTATATGTATTCTTGGAAAGTGGAGTTTTTTATTTTATTTTATATATTTACATAAAATTATAAGATATTATATATAAAATATAATAATTTTGATATTAGTAACGGAATCATAAAAGTTTCACTTGCCAAATTTTTTAATTTGTTTTTATTTATCAATATTGATATTATTGAAAAATATATAATATCTTTTAGTTTTATATAAATAAATAAAAATCTCTACTCTTTCCTAGAATACATATAGAAGAGAGTTTGTTCATGAATATAATGTGTCAATTAATTTATATGTATTATATGTAATTATAATTCAGTGATATTTTTTTTAGAGTTATTTTTGTAATTAAAAATAATAATTTTAACTTAAGAAGGAGTAATAAAATATTTTGAAGAATTGCTGATTTTTTTTCATTAAAAGTTACATGAGTATTATAGATTCTCAAATATATTTTTATTAAAAAATTGACATAACAATGATAACATGCATAAGCAATTAAACTGAAGCTATTCATAAGATAAGAGAGATCCTAATAAGTGATTTATTCAAATGATCGATACATATGTAATTTCTCTGAAATAATATTCCAAATTCAACTGTTGGGTGAAAGCTAACCTAATATTCATAATCAACTAATAAAAAAATCCTAAAATAGTATATATTCCTAAAATATTTCAAGTTTAATTAATTAGACTTTATCATGCAAGAATCATATTATATTGTCAACTCGTATTTTATTTAAGTCTTTAATCTATACTTACTAATAAAAAATAAAAAATAAAAAAAGCTTTATAGTCTTCCAAAGGTTAGAATCAGCTGGTAAACTCAAGCACTCGATCAATAAAAATAAAATTATTACGATCGAATTTCTTCAATTAAGTTTGTTGCAACCTTTAACTCGTGTTATCATCATCAAACCACAACGAATCACCCCTGATATAGAAAACTATAGTTTCACCATATTAATGTTTAAGTTAGAACATAATTACTCCTTATGAGAAAGACACATAAGAAGGTTTAGCCCTTTGAAAACCTCAATTACATATTTTCAATAATCCAAATTAATTAAGGAGCTTGGCATGGTTTGGGACAAGAACTTTTTTTGCAATTCATTGGACACATCAAATCTTGATCACCTCATGCTCATGGGATGGGATGCGACTATTGGTATCCGCCATGAGTCACTTCTACAATTACTTCCATGCTCTTCCCACGTTCTCCATTCCCCCATCCACCCATCCATATATAGTTGACATTCCTTTACGTACGCATGCACCTCAATATCTTTGCTTCTAATTCTCATCTTTCGGCACTGTTTGCCCTATCTTTATGGCCTATGAGATTCTCTCTCACACAACTAGCTACGAGTTTGCAACTAACACACCACAAAAGTCCCTATCAAATCAATGGGAAGAACCTTCATCTTTCCACCCCCCCTCCTCTTTAATTCCGATCGATCGATACCAAACAATGCACAATTAATAAGAACCCTTTTCATCATCATGTGTCTTTATCCTCACTACTCCTTCATATATAAATACTAAACCCCTTCAACCCTAAATGACATCACAAACCACACCAAACCCTTTATTTCTTTTCTCTCACACATCTCATTACACTAACAACTTCCCCACCTAATATAAGTAACCTTACACATAGACATAGTGCCTCATAGAGATGGATCGTGTAGCGAAATTGGCCTCACAAAAGGCAGTGGTGATCTTCAGCAAGAGCTCGTGTGGGATGTGCCACGCGATTAAGAGACTATTTTATGAGCTTGGGGTGGGTCCCGCAATATACGAGGTGGACGAAGAGTCACGGGGGAAGGAAATAGAGTGGTGCTTGATGAGGTTAGGGTGCAACCCCTCTGTGCCAGCAGTGTTCATTGGTGGCAAGTTTGTTGGTTCAGCCAACACTGTGATGACCCTTCACCTCAATGGCTCGCTAAAGAAAATGCTAAGAGATGCTGGAGCACTCTGGCTTTAGAACAACACGTCATTAACCTACGTCACCTCACATCATATGCTCCCGCAAACAGCGACAAATACCTAAACCATGCGATTAAGATTACTTTAGTTCTATAATTATATAATACCATATCCTGCTACTTTTTGGAGGGAGGCAAAAGATATTAGCACTTCCTTTTTTTTATCATCTTTTCTTTACACAACCTTCTTTGAGGAAAACCAAAAGGTGTTAACTAAAGATAGTGTAAATATATATATATATATATATATATATATAAGACATAAAAATATCTTCTTCTTCTTTTTTTATGCAATATATGGTGCTTTTGGAATATACACTTTACTGCGATAATTCTTACTTTCTTAGTCACCTTATAAAACAATAAATTTATTAAGCTTAACTATTTTGGTTATGCTGTTTTCTTTATTGAATTGAAAGAGCTAGAGAGTGAAATTTTAAGTTTAAGGGAGTGATGTTCAAGTAAAATAAAATACAGTCTCCCGTATCGATCGCTGCAATTTCTTGGATAAATTAAATGTGTAAAAACAATTGTAATAAAAAAGTTTATTTATTTTTATATATATTGTTAGTATAACAATTTTTATATTATTAATCAATGAAACACTATTCTAATATATAAAAAAATATCGTAAAAGTTAATAAATTTATAAATTATAATACACAATAATCTAAATTATATGTCAACGTAAAAAAAAAAATCATATCTTCAAAAAAGAAATATATATATATATATATATATATATTAATTAAATTCTTCTTCTTCTTTTTTTTTTTTTTTGGTCTTAAAAGTGACATACAATCTCCTTATTCCAAAATTTTACTATGTCAAAATAGCAAGAGTGGAAGTAGGCATGGCAATCTAACCCG